TGATCAGAGCAGAAACTAATGAAACTCATACAGCAAAATGATTACAGAGGAAATGAAATCAATATGAAAATCTACATGTCTCTCAAATAAAATACTACTTTGATTAATGCAAAACTAAAACCTTGCATTTCAAATGTTGAGAGAATGTGGTTAAAAAACATTCAAAATTACTCATGCAAGAAGAAAGGTTTTAGAAAGAAAAAAAATGTAACAAAGAAACATGAAAAAAAGAACTTCAAAAAACAAAGAGACAGGGAGAAGTAAGGGGAAAGAACTAAAGCGAACACTCACAAAAACACTGTATGTTTGGCATGCATGAAGCAATGTCATTCTAGCCGTAACCAAGGCATCTGGATGCCTCACATAGCGACAAAGCACAGAGGTGAGCAAAAGGACAGACATGGGGTCTTGCAGATAGCAGGCCTGAGCGGAGCTGTGCACACTAAAGCATCACCTGCCTTACCTCCCTGCACGTCACACCACCTTGCCTAGACGCCATCAACACCTGGCCCTGACACACCCACACCACCACAATCGCAAACACCTGTGCCGTGAACACAACTCCTCCAAATGATTCCCCTCCTACTTAGACTGAGGGAAAGAAGCCAAGTCAGAACAAAATGTCATGAAAAAACATGGAAGGAAATAAACTAAAAGTGGACATGAGATAAATAAAAAGTCTTGAAGACTGATGATTCTGAGTTCCTGTTGATGGCTCACGCAAAGACGGACAATTGAAGAGGGGCGTGTGAGGGAATGACGATGGGAAACCAAAGGGAAGCATGACATGTGGATTCATAAAATGGGAGATCAAGCAAAACCCATTGGAAAGTGAATTCATTCCCACAGGCTTCCCACTTTCTGTGATCCACCGCCAGATAAGATGAAAATCCATCAGCACGGGAAGGTCTTTCCAAATAAAGACGACAAACAGGAACAAACTTCAAAAAAGAAGAGATGGATGACGACAGGTGATCAATAGTTAAAACAAAAAAAGAAAATCATAAGACATGGCATCTTCCCATTGAGTGGCTACTCATTCTTCAGACTTGGATTGTCTTCTTCCCCATTTATCCTGACAGAGAGAGCTTAAGCCTGAACTTCCTGAGGACTGCTGAGAAATCCAGCAGATGGAAGATCTGTTTGTTGATGCTGCTTGGAGTTTGTTTGTAGAAGATGAATGTTGTGATTCCCTTTTTAACATCTCCTTAGTATGAGCAAAGGCCATAGGTCCAGCAGCATCGAACAGAACACAGAACGGCCTGGTAGAAGCACTCCTACCTTGCGCAGTTGGCATAAGCTGCTGGAGTGGAACGCCAGGTGATCCTAAAGGAGCTACACCAGGATGCTGGAAAATCAGCCCATGGCGACCAACGTCAATCCGGGGCCTCTTAGCCTGATCTGGGATTTAAAACACACAATACCCTCATAACGCAAAAAAAAGCACTCGGCACACAGCAATGACCTTCTGAAGACCGTACAGGTCACCTCTCCTTCCTCGGTTTAAGACTTCAACACAGAGCGCTAGTAGAGGATGCCAAATATCTAAAAGCAGAAGCAATTAGAGGGAGAAAAGAAAACAAACAGAAAACAAAGCAAACGGGGAGAAAACAAAGCAACATAAAACAGGAGTTTACGATCTTTGCCCTACCTGCCTGCACCATAGCCTGTTGCCTTTTAAATGCATCAATGTCTCCAGGGTTTGTAATGGTGCCAGAAGTAGCTCCTTGGTGTCCCTGCAAAAACAGCCTCTCATGAAATTAGTGAGATATTTTCAACAGACTTTAAGGGCATTATAGATAATTTCATTAAAATAAATGTTTAAAATAAGTGCCTCCTCTATCACCTGAAACTGCTGTTGGGTAGAGAAAGCTGCAGAAACATTGGGAGGAAGCTGTGTTGCTATGGCAACTGGTGTCACTGCCTGGCCATCCTTTCCAGTAACAACCTTTACCTGAAAAAAGACACCAAATTGAAAGAGGAACAAAATTCAACAGAATGACAGGAAAGAAATACACATTTGATCTCAGACCAAGAGCCAGCTGATGTAATACCTCATCATTAATAACCTCAGACTGTTCTTCTTCCTCCTCTTCGTCTTCAAGGTCCAAGTCACTCTGTCTCAAGTAAGTATACAAGGGAACACAAGGCTTCTTCTTAAAAGCTAGATAGTCCATCATGTTCCCTTGGAGGTGCTGCAGGAAGAAAAGTTCAATCAGATATTCTTTGAACACTTCTTTCAGATTCTCCATCTTCTTGGTGTGGTGCTCCAAGCACTGTTTTCTCAGCTGAGCAATCTCTGGTGTGGAAGGAGCAATTTCCTCTAATTTCTTGGCAGCTTGCTTCTTTACAGTGCCCACAGTCATGCTGGTGGGTGCAAGAGAATTGCTGGGGATCCCTTGAGATGGACTGGTGAGGGATGGGCTAGAGGGTGGTATAGAGGAAGGTATACTGAATGATGTGGCTGTGGTTCCTACTCCAGAAACCACACCTTGTTGAGGCTTCTCAAATATCAAAGGGTTTCTAAGCTGTCCTTGAATGATACTGCTGATCTGGGGAGGTAGGTTTGAGGTGGTGATATGACCAGGGCTGCCCAGAGCTGAGTGAGTGGTGGCCACTGGACTTTGAGGTGCATGGTGGTGGATGGTGCCGCCAGTCTGTGAATGAGGCTGAGAAAGCCGTCGTTCCCTCACAGACCCTGGCGCTCCTGGAGAGGCCAGCTGTACCTGACCAGGTGTGGCTGGGGCAATCTGGGCCAGTCCTGTTCCCTCTTGGTAAACAAAGTGACCACTGCCTGATTGACTCCCTAAACTGATTTGCCTCACTAACATGCCAGCGTCAACAAAACGTGTCGGACTCTGTCCGTGCACACCCAATGCTGCTGCAGGAGCTGTTGGCCTCGTCACACCTTGCAGAGAGGCTGGACTATGCTGGGTAGGACTTTGAGGTTGAATGGGCTGGGGCACAGGTGAGGTGACCTGGATGTAGGAGGGTGGAGTATGCTCAAACCTCCACTGAGGTGTCGTATGCTGGAATCCTGGGGATGCGGGGTTCTGGATGGGAAGTGTGGTTAGGGTTATTTGTTGGTTAGCAGTAACCATCTGTCCCACATTTTGTAATGTTATGTTCATGTTCGGGCCAGCGGCTGGACTACGACTCATGATTATCTGATAATTGGGTGACTGAGGAGCTGAAGGACTGGCAGCAGAGGAAAAAGGGGTCACAGGTGATTGAGGATGGTTAACTGTAGCTTGCTGCTGTGTAGTTGCCATGGTCGGCTGCGACTGCTGCTCCTCTGTTTCTGACCCGCTGACAGACTTGGGTCTCTGAAGCGGTCGTTGCATATTCTGTGATCCACTTCCATGGTGCATTGCGTGATACGGTTACAATCTTTAAACACAATAATCTGTGAAAAGAACAAAGGAGAGTAAAAATGATTTTTATTTATTTTTACTTTTTAATGACTATATGTGATGCAGAAATAAAGTTTGCTCGTCATCTGGGAGGAAAATATCTGAAAATTAACCATAACATGTCAACATATCAACAACTTCACGTGAAATGACATAAATCAGAACCAAGGATTGTCTCTGTAATAGCCATTTCCTGTGATAAACTGGAGACCCTGGTAGCAATAACCACGTGATGTCTTCCAGGGTTGCCTTTTTTCTTTTGTTTCACTGTGTCTAGTTATAAATATTCAGTCTTTTAGCTTCTCCATACACTATTTTTGAACATTTAACATGCACACAAGTAATGACACAGACAAAAATCAGTCACTGCCATCAGTAAATCTTATCTCGAATGTCATTAAAGTTTGATATCGTGTGCAAGAAAGACATGGACTGTTACCCTACATACACCCCTTAATTATTCAGGTGGAGGTCTTATCAGAGCATCTTTACCGACGTACAGCTTTTGTTTATTTTTTACATCTGTTTGCACCTACAGGTGAACGCCAGCTAGCATATACACATTGTCCAGTGGTAAAAACGATATGGCTTATTTGGTTTGATACTGATTCCGCCAAAACTAACGACCATTTAAAACAAAGCTGATGTACCTTAACGGTACCGAGGTGTCGCCAACGTCGTTTGACAACGACGCCTTGATAACAGCGTTGAGAAATTTACGCGTTAGTGAAACCCAGTCGTTTCAACACCGTAAGAACAACATTACATTTACAACCAACATTTCCAGTCGACAGCCGTAGAGCAGTCGTTTCTTGATACGGTGTTATATTTACAGCGCTTGTTAACATGTTAGCTTCACCCCCCTACAATTTCTCCGGGGCGTAACGTTAGCTTCGGTTAGCTGCCATGAAAAATAATAAATGCAGGTATCGGAACAATCAGGTCTAGGTGAATGGATGATCCAAATATATATAAATAGAGTAATATGGAATGTAAAAATTAACCTGTAACATTTACAATAACACTGTGTATGGCTTTTGAGTAATTACAATAACCCGTGCTACATGATGCGCGCTAGCCGATGCTATTGACTAGCTTGTTTTTGCTAACAGGCCAGCTACCAATGAATAAACAGTTATTACTTCAACGGCGTTACTTACAGAGAATGGGGATTCTGTAGTAGTTTCGTAAATCCTAAGTCATATTTACAATAGGTCACATACTGCAACACGGGCTATTCTGCGAAAAATAAAATCTTGATATTGATAGCTGCTATTCACTGTTTTGAAGCTAAGTTAATTTCATTCAGCAACATGGCGACCGCGGCAGCCTGCTGTGTAACCCGGATCCCGTTCTGAATCCGAGGAAGCAAAAATATGACGTAATCTAAAATGGTGGGTTGCATGAGCGATTGTGATTCTAGATGAAAATGCGGTTGATAAAATCATTATAAGGTTGCTCGATTTTTACAAGCAAGCACTGACAGCTTGGTGTTTAAATATAACTCCTACAAAGGTACTGAATATTAAAGATGATAATGGAATTCTGACTTTGAGCTGTTTAATCTTTCGTCTTTTTCTTTTTATCATACAGATAATTTCGTTATAAATTCAAAATATATATTAACCCAAAATAATATACTGCAGTTTTGATGCTATACCAGGAAAAAATTCCCTATAATGTTACAAAACTGATGTTCCTCATCTAAGCTTTAATTCTGAAGATTTTTATAACCGCTTTATATCGGTAGCCCTGAATATTTAAATAATAATATAAGAAGAAGAACAATGCTCTAATAAGAATATTAGCAATTTAATTTTGTTACTATCTGTCTCCAAAGATTTATTTAGTGATACACAGTGAGAGAAAGCACTAAAAACTTGTGATAAATACTTTATCAAAAACAAGTTTAAGGAAACCACTGCATAGGATCTACCCAGTGAAACAAGAACTGAGAACATTCAAAATGTATTCGTAGTATAAATGTGACTACTGTGGACTGGAAAATAAAAGCATGTCTCATCTCCTTTTCCATACATAGAAGCAATGTTGTTTGATGTAATATTTTACAAGTCAAGACAATAAGACCTAGGTTTGTTGAATGCATATAATATGCAACGTAAATGATATCCTGGTATTATAAAATGTAATTACGTTTGTTGAATAGTTTGGGGGGTTTTTTCTCTTTACTCTAGTGTGTCCTCTGTGCATGTTTGCACATTATAACACTGAATAAATCTTGGCGGGTAAATAAATAAATAAAGCCTGGACGATTCATACATTCACAGCTTATTAGTTAACAAGAATATTATGTAGTAAAATTGTATACTTTAAGCTAAATCCTGATTATAAAGAAACTATAATTACTTATGGATTTGAATTAAACAGAAGCTTTGATAAAAGTCCACATGTGAGTAAGAACAATGAAATTGATTTCTACTGCAAACTGTCAGCGACTTTATAATAAATATTTATTTTGATCAAACACCATATAACAACTTATCTTGGCAACATTTGACAGGCAGTCTTAAAACAATACAAAAGGCATTTGGTAAACAGACTTCAAACAATTAGTTAAAATCACCTAGTGCCATGCACAGTTTGCAGATGGATTGAATGCAAACATACATCTCCAAATTCAAAATCAGCAAATCTCCAAATGTATAACACACACAAGAAAAAAACCCAAATATGCATAGATACACACGGAAAAAAAGTCACTTGAAGTACCTCATAGCTGAGTATATCACCCACCCAAGGGAGGGATTTTTGGATCATGTGTAAAACAAATCTCATTCAAATGTCAAAGAATACTTATTGCACTCCACACTATATGGCCATAAGACTGGCAGTCGTAAGGCAGTTACGGTGTATCAGGTTAGAACATACTTTCAATATATTCATATTCACTCTTCTGTTATAATGCAAAGACAGAAAAAAACAGGCACAGGTTTACAAGTATTGCTACACATTGGCAATATTTGGTCATCTCATTCAAACTCTTCAGAGTCCCGCAGGCTGGTGATTATTCACCAGACACATAACTCAAATGTTTCGAACACAGAAAACCACAAAGTAATCTTTGCTTCAAGTATAAAACACTTGCAATCATTTCTTAATTTAGCTCATCATTCTATGTGCAAAACACCAAAACACACTAACACGTACGGTTTGTAACAAAACAAATACTGAAAACGATGTACCTGATCATAGCTTTTAAACATTCATAACCCAACCTGTTTTTCAAGAACTTCCAGCCTTTTCGAACCTTTACTGTGCATTTACCTTTCAATTACAGATTGGGTGAAGAAATGAGAGGAGCAGATGCTCCAGTGGTCGTTTCCCTTAGGAGAGATCAAAGTGCAGACAGTGATGGCAGATGGATGAGGCAAGATAATGCAGTTGTTATTGATGCAGTCGTGGAGCTCATAAATACTGCTTTGTGTGCAGAGTTGAGAGCCGCCGCTCAATGCATTGCCTACCTAAAGAGATAAGGGAACAACTCAGTGACCACATGACAAATGCATGAATACAATGACTAATGTTAGCATTTAAAATTTCTCTTTAATGGGTTGTGTGTCACAGAGCTTCCACATACATTTTTCTATGCCGTCAATGTCCTCTTGCTCTGTGAGGGTTCGGGACAGACCTTCCATGAGCACAAGGGCTTTATGGTAGCGCTGCACTGATGTGGTGCCATGGTGGAACATCTCATCTAAAGCCGCAGACTTTACCTGAATGGAAGGGGGGGGGGGAAACAAGACACACATGCATATATTTAAAGAGCTAAGATAACGATTGATAGCATATACAGGACAGAGTCCATCTTGGAGTGAATATCAATATCCTCCTGTGAAATGAGCTGACCATGTGCACAGTGTGGTTGTAGATGAGCTTCTCTGCTGTGAGTGCATTGAAGTTGTCCATAAGTTTCTGCTTGTTAAGCAAGAAGGTCTGCAGCTGATCGCTGAGGGAGCGACAGTAGGTCACACAGTTCTTGTACAATTCATTCAGCTTTCTGATTACTGCAAAAAAAAAAAAAACAACCCAAAAAACGAATTAATACAGGAACATTTTTACTTTCATTAACTTTTAATAAATACACACAGATACACACAATATTTCTGCCTAAGTGGTTGTGCTCCTACAACAGGAGTTTCAAGAATGACTTCAGTTTCTTATAATGTCTTCCTGACTGACAGATTCTGGTGCACTTTGCAGCCAACGTGCATTCTTTCATCTCAGTTTTAGACACCGTTTCCATTCTCCTTTTAGCTTGTATGTGTGTGTGGCAGCAGTAAATACAGAGACCCGTGAGAGCAGAGAAAATGACAGTGAGGCAGGAATATTCAGTCAGGTTTACTTTTTCAGTGGTAGCCACAAATATAGGGCATCCTGAGTAAACACCACAGACGATATAAAAGATGGATGTAGCCTCCATGATGTCGCCCACTATTTTGTGAAATCTAATTTTAAAGGGTCAGAATGGGCGTTTTCAATGTCACATGGTGGTTTTTGTTACTGGATGTGACAAATGAGGGGTGGATCTGAATGCGAATCTGCAGAGTCATAGGCCAGCATCTTCTCTACATATCCTGCATAACAATCATTCCTGAAACTTAGAACAATAAAAATTCACAAAATGGACTTAATGTTTTACTCGGGACGACCCATGAGAAGTGACTCTGGGTATAAACCCACGATTAAAGTGTTTACAGATGTCAGGGAAGAAGGCAATTTGCTTGCCGATGTCTATAGGAGCGGAAGCCCTTTTGAAATCATAGGGATTGCCCCCTGGTGGCCTTAAAGAGCATGCCAGTGTAAGGCTTTACTTTTCAGACTTAAAGATAAGTCCATCTTACATACTCTTTATGGTAATCACCTAAGTTTGCGCAGTCTGCAAGCAGAGAACTGGTTTTAACTGTGTAACAAAGACAGTCACAGTCTGGAGCTTTGAACCAAATATGTAAAATAATGTTGAAACACTTGGTCACACATGGTCACATGGACACATGGACACATGGTCATGTGATTTAAATTATGGGAGGTTCTGGATCATAGTTCAAGTTCCTTTTAAATTAAGTCAAGCTATTCTATTGGTAGCACCATTTCTGAAGAAATTCACACTATGAACGTTTACCTTTACCTTACAAATCTACAGAAGGGAATGTTGGTCTCACCTTGTTTGACTGTAGCAGATGGAAACAGCTCGCCTTTCTTGACATTTTCTTTAGCGCTGCGCAGAGCTGATGACAGAAACTCTTCAGCCTTCATGTACAGCACCAATTGCTCTGCATAGCTGGAACATTACATAGAAGTTTTAAGATTTTCTTTTTTTATTAAACAAAGAGAGCTACTCCACGTGTGGAGAAACTGTAATGCCTCTTACCTCCATTCTCTACTTAGAAGGCTGATCTGATCAGCCACCAAGCTCTGATCCAGGAAGGAAACGTTGGGACTGCTGATGGGCTCGAGCCCTGGGTCCTTAGAGGAAGCCAGTTCCATGACACACTGGACGAAAGCCAAAGTGAAGCGCAAGTCAGTCAGAGCATCGGTGTGAGCCTCCTGTGAAAAGAGCACATAAAATATTCTCAATGTGGAAACCTTTCATGTGGAACCCGCAAATGTAAATTACTGACGATCCTGGAGTATTCACTACTATTGGCATTTGACTGTACCTCCATTAATGTGTCTTCAGGGAGCTCTGGAGGATGAAAAATCAGGCCGCTGGGTGGAATAACATTCATTGTTTCAGTGTCACTGTGCCTACGGTTTCTTCGTTGAAGATGCCAACCTGAGTTTAAGTAGCTGGGAGTGTCTGTATTTAAAAACAAAAGGCAAAGTTAGCTTAACCACATACAGCTGATACATAATTCATGAATATGTAAATGGATTTAACTGATAACACGTTGTAGCTTTAAAAAAAAAGATGGAAAATATAAACACTTAACAAATGGAAAATGACCTGAAATATTAGTTTTCCTTGGTTAATCACAACAATTTTCTTTTAAAGTTAAGAGTCTCAGTGACGTCCAAACTCAAAAAGCAGCACATTATAATCAGATTAAGCGGTTATATCGTAAGCATGCTGAAATTAAGAGACTTATTTAAACCTTCCTAGAAGCAAAACTAAAATGACGGTTCAAAATAAAAGCCCTCAGTAGAAAGTTAGTAGTGAGGGAAGTCAGGACACCTACCTGAGAACCTCCTCATTAACATGGTATCAGGAGGTGAGCTTCCACTGGATGGAGAGCCCATAGAGAAAATCACAGGAACTGGGCTGTCTGAGCACTGGAAAACTCCATGACAGCCAGCAGGGGGTGCTGTAGGAACAAGTAAGAAGAGTCAGATGGCTGCTACCCCATTGGTAAGGTAGCCTAGATGAACTGAAGTAAAGTAATGTAGTGGTCATGGTGACTAAATTAGATACTTCACAAAGGTCTCTTTGTGCCTACTGCATGTACCAAACATGTGTCACCTTCCCCTACATGTGCGGTGATTTTGTAAAACCTTCTTCTGCATCACTTTAAGTCAGTGGTTTTATGAATGGACTCGTTCGTACTGAAAACAGACGCTGTCCCTTTAGAAGTCATTTGACTGGTTTTACTTTTAGCATGTTGCACTGATACCTGTTATCTCCATGCTTTTCTCACTGCTGAGGCTCTCGTCTTTCCCTTCTTCAAAGAGCGGAGCTCCGAGGGCCGCCTTCAGTAGCATGTCAGATAACCTTCCTGTGCTCACTGATCTGCACATGTAATATATCCACAGACACCCTTGTGAGCATTTAATAATTAATCAACCAGCATATGTTTGACTGTGTGTTATCTCTTAGTAGCAGGCTCCCATAATCTTAATTAGACTTGCAATATTAGCTTGTCAAAAATTCATAATGATTTAACCATTTCTTTCTTTCTTTATTTCAACCATTTATAACAACAGTGTGGAAGTATTACACTGCTCATACCTTTTAAAAGGGCCCTTTTTAATTGCTGCTTTACGGCTGAGGTTGGCCTGGGAAGTGGGGCCAAGGGATTGCAGGTTTGGGACTGTCCTGGTTCTGTTTGGCATTCTTGGCTGAACCTGCTGCTGAAAAGGAAATTGAACTGTTGAAACATCTTTCCCTCTGTGCCCATTTATATCTTCTATTATCCGCTGACACCATAGGAAGTGTAAAAATTTGCTGTTTTAAAGAGATGTGGAAGGAAATCACCCCGGTTTTTGCAGTGTGTGCATTGCAAAACAATTTCTAATGTCACAGAAAGAATGGCAGAGTAGAGTGGATGACTTAATATTAACTATAAAATGTTTATTATTATTAAGTCAACACTGTGTCTGTATGGCATGTTGAAGCTGACCTTGGGCCTGTCCTGCATGTCAGGAGAAGCAGCGAGGAGCCCAGTTCTTGTGCTGAGTGGGAGAGTCTGCTCTGATGTCTTTGGGCTTGTTCCCACTGGAGAACAGAAAATTATATATATAAAACAACTGTTTTAAAGAGCACATGATATTTGTAAACACATTCGTTGACTGTAGGAGTTTAGAATAAAAAAAACACAGATGAGTGAGAGCAAAAGGAGCTACAGAGAAAATAAAATACTGACAGTTTACCTCAAAACAAATTTAAAAATCCACAAAAAAAATGTTTGTGTGAGATGGTGAAATTGAGAGTGTGTGCATTGCTGTTGGAAGGTTACAGTGGAATAGGTCTGCTTAACAAAAGCCCCTTTCAGACATTAAAAAAAAGGCCACATAAACATCGGTCTCTGATAATAATTAACTACTTTTTTAACCTTCTTCTGTGTGCATTTCCAATGTCCAGTCAACTGTGTATATGAAAGTTGACTGGGATCAATTTAAAATTATGTATTTGTGTATGACACATACAGATGAATGCCTTCATAGGTAATACAGAAGCCAACTGATCTAGTTACCTGGCGGGGAAGACTGTTTAGGTTGGCTCCCTCCAGAGTTGAAGGTAAAGACTGGACTGGGAGATCCACATTCTTCATACTGTGGTGGGCTTTCACTGCTGCTGGGACTGCTGGGACAGTATAATGTGACCCTGAATGAGATGAGACATTGTTAGACAAAGGAAACAGAGAACGCATAAGAGTAAGACTCTGAGGTGGGGTTGGTGCACAGATAAGATGGATGGACATGCCTGGTGGAGCCATGAGAGCCGACACACTGCATACGCTGGTAGTTTTGGATCTGAGTTGGGACGGGAATGGGAACAGACGGGCTGAAGTTACTGCCAAGTGTTTCAGCTGGTTTGCTGCGTGGTTAAAAGGGGAAACACAGAAGAGTGGGCAGCTGATTTTATAAAGCAGTTATAAACAGCAGTGGAACTAGTCTGTCAAACGAAATAAAGTCTGTTCCTTCCAACATATGTTCCAAGTATTTAATTCCTTTGCAACTCCAATCTGGAAAGTTTATCATATTATTGTTTTGTAATATGTCCGGATTGTTCCAGATAGGTGTACGTTTGCATGGGATTAATGAAGACTCATTTTTAGAAACTCCGACCATGCTGTCAGAGAAGAGCTGATGTTGATGCTTTTAAAGCATTCATGTCATTTGATGTTTGAGCTGATAAATGGTAGGTCTGAAATTTCTAGGTTATTACATAGTGCCTGTTCTACATCTATCCAAGGTTCATCTAAGAGGGTGTGTTTAAACCATCTAGAGATGAACTGAAGCCTGTTGGCTAAAAAATAGTGATTAAAGTTAGGCAGATCTAATCCTCCTTTATCCTTGGTCCTTTGTAGTGTTTTTAAGCTGATACGTGGGGGTTTATCTTTCCAAAGGAATTTAGAAATATACGAGTCTAGAGATCTGAACCAATCTTGTGATGGCTTATTTGGGATCATTGAAAATAAATAGTTTATTTTTGGCAAGACCATCATTTTTATAGCGGCGACCCTTCCCATGAGTGATATGGGTAAAGATTTCCATCTAGCCAGGTTGCCTTCTACTGTCTTTAAAAGTGGGATGTGGTTTAATTTTAGTTCTATAACATGTTCTATATACCGTGAATATAAATACTGTTTGATCTAGCTGCACGTTCAATTTAATTATCCATATCGGACCTCTTTTATCTTCCACGAGCTGAACTCTAAAATTGGCTTTCTGACAGTCTGGCTTTCTCTTACCTAACAGGCTTGGGGGGAGAGCGCAGCATAGGAGAGCGTGGGGGTGTCTTTCCAGTGAGTCTAGCACCCCTTTCGGCCAGTGGGGAGCTCCTATACAAACACATTTAAAAATTACATAAAAGCATAAAACTTAACTGAACCCATACAGTGTTCAGGCCATGAAGGGAACACTCACCCACGGTCTTTAAGGGAACTTTCTGGGGGTGACCCAACATTTACTTCACATATATGTTCACCTGTAAAGCAGCACAACAGGAGCAGTCAGTCTTTTTGTGCTAATGTCAAAAAAATAATGCACTAAAACATCCTGATAAATCCGATGTGCTCCTGATGCTCAGAGGTCTTACTGGGAAACTGGGCAGGCACCAAGACATAATCTTCTGTGAGAGATTGGATATATCTACCATCTTGATTAGCTGTTTCTTTCTGCAGGAAGCCAGGCTTGTCCTGCACAGGGGTGTAAGGCAGCTTGGGCTGAGGTTGGTGCATCTCTCCATCGGAATGCTGACAGAGTGAAGATAAAACACAGATGTAACGAAAACTAATATTAATTATGGATTTCACAGTATGACCAATTGGTTTCAGGTCACTTCACTTCATGAGAAAACTTTGTGCATACTTGAGGCGAGGCCAGCTGAGATGTGGAGGAGCTGCTAGAGGAGCTGCCGGAGCCAGAACTGGGGTAGGAGTGCACGGGGACTGATGAGCCTGTGACAAAAAATAGAGTAAAGCACTTGTGTTACGACCTCAGCTATAACGGCGTCACTGATACTAAGCTGTCCTCACAACAACGCGACACTTACATTTCTTTGTTGATGAGCTTGTTTCCAAAAAGGGATGGTTAAAAAATTCCTCTGAAAAAGAAAAGATAAAGACATAAGAAAAATACTTTGAATTCAATTATTAAATCATGTTTTTTACTAATAAAAAGGGGCAGACTTACCAAAGCTAATCCGATCTTTATGATTCCTCTGTAGAAGCCCCAACAGCAGGTGTTTTAGGTTATCAGAGGTCTCCTTTGGGATGCTGGCAAAATACAACAGCTTTCTATTAAAACTTGCATGTGTAAGAACACAGCTAATAATACAAATCCCAGGAGAACAAATTGTTAAAGGTTATCACTATTTAATCATTCTAATCATTTTAATTACAAAATAAGATGTAGGGAGAGGAGAAAGTATGGGACCATTATTATGTAGCTTTTTACACTGTATTATAGCCTTTATTTAGATCATGCTAATATTTTGACTTCATGTTCAAGTTTGTTCACTGAGTTATTTTGTGGATATTTATGGCTTTAAGAAACAGACTGCTTCAGACGTTCCATACTGTGAACTCTAAAATATGAAATCTTAATCTAATTTATGGCTTCAGTACAAGACCTTGAGGTGTCATGACACTCCAGGCAGTCAGCCATAGTGTATGTGTTTATGTAAGTGCTGACCTACAGTATGTGGGTAGTATGGAAAGCAATAGCCATACAGACCAGTAGCTGGCACTTTAGGGCAGGATATATATAGAGCCAAAGGAAAACTACAAACTATTCCCTCACACACACACACACACACACACACACACACACACACACACACACACACACACACACACACACACACACACACACA